GATGATCTAAATCAACTGAATTTCAGGTAAGCTAATCATAGGGGGGGGGGGGGAATTCAGACTACCTTGTTTATGTAATGTGCTAACTAACATAGTGGACTATACCTACCCACCCCTTTTTCTCAATAACAGAGCAGATCAATATTTAAATACCCATATCCAGTGCTTTTTTTGTCATAGAACACACCGGAATGGAGTTCTGGCACCTTTTTTCGACACATTTTCCAAGTTTTAAAAATAACTTGAAAATTTAATGTTTGGTCCATGTGGACTTGAATCACCCTGTCGAGCGTAGCAGGTCAGTGGCAAAATCATTAAAACGGTGCATGCAGGCTGCTTGTGTGTCGAGTCTGATCCATGAGTACTTCATCTGCGCTGCTTGTGATGGTGCTGCTTGGCTTGTGGCACTGCTCAGCTTATGATTGGTTGTGTGGTTGCGCTCTGAGTGCTTACTGCAGGTGGTGACCGTTATGTTTTGTTACACAACTGACATGTGGGTGTGTGTACAGTGATTGACTATATGCGAAAGGTAAATAATTTCTTTATTTTAAAAATTCGTTGGTGAATTGAAAATCTTTTTTAATTTTTAGTGTAAAATTTACTATGAACATTTGCCTTAAATACAATAAATTAAATTTATGTTAAGAAATATATATTAATAAAAGATAAACGAGATGTGAGTTCCGGCACCTTTTTTCTTACAAAAAAAGCACTGCCCATATCTATTATCCTCATATGGGCAGGCTTCTATTTTAACAACTATTTCCAATATTTTTCATTGTCTGCTTTTGTTCTTGAACTGAAAGAAGTGTCTGTTCCTGTTTTCAGACAGATAAGTGCCACTCTTTCATCCATGACTCTTTCATATTTTTTTCTTTTACAAAATAACCAGCTTCAAGGCTGTACATGCAGAGTGACCAAATAGAGAGTGAAAAAGCTGTTAGATAAAAGAAAATGGATGAAGGGAGCTCTTTTCTAAGCAGTTTAAGAAAGTTATATGTAGTAAGAAGAGAAGGAATGAGAGATGGGTGGATACTTACTTTTGAAATATGAGTTCTGAGTTCTTGAAAAAATGTCTCCAGAAGAGACATATTGTTGAAGCAGAATGGCTGATAGATGTTTATTCCAAGAGTTTCCAAAAGGAGACTTTGCAAAGATGCATTCACTGATAGAACCTCACAGACAGCAACTTTAAGATTTGCTTGAGAAGAGTTTTGTCTCTGCATCCATATAGTAAAATTGCATATAAAAATAATGAAATACAGTTATTTTGTTCAGTTTGACTAGATAAAGGTTTTTAAAATGAGTTCATTAAATGTTTGGAAGAACATGATACAGATAGTCCTTGATTTACAACAGTTCATTTACTAACTGTTCAAAGTTACAACAGCACTGAAAAAAAATGACTTATGACCGTTTTTCACACGACTGTTGCAGCATCCCCATAGTCATATGATCAAAATTCAAACACTTGGCAACTGACTCTTTATGACAGTTGCAGTGTCCCAGCATCATATGATCACCTTTTGCGACCTTCTGACAAGGAAGCCAAATTCACTTAACAATCGTGTCACTAACGCAACATCTGCAGTAATTCACTTAACAACTTTGGCAAGAAATGTAAAATGGGGCAAAATTCACTTAACAAATGTCTCACTTAGCAAGAGAAATTTGGGGCTCAATTGTAGTAATAGGAAGCCTAAAATAATTCTATTCCTGCTCTAAAATGCTCTGAGGATGGGTCTAGCTAAGTGTTTGCAGAGGACATTATTACCCAGACTGGGTTCACTGTTTCTTTCTCCAAGACAGAAAATAATTCAGTGTCCCTCCCACTCACCAGGTCTATGAATCAGGTTTTCTTCATCCCTTTTTATATAAATGAAGGAAGCGACTTACTAGAATCCATCCCACAACCCAAAATGTCCACAGGCACTCCATGTGCTTGTTTACATGTAGTTATGCATATTTGTCTGTGTGCAAGGAAAGCTCATTTGAACAAAGTAAAAATACTGTATTTAGAAGTCTCAAAAGTCTTATAATCATTACTTCTATGCATGCCTCCAATAACCATAACATTTCATAAAATGATTAGAATTTCATCCAGTGGAAACTGGGCCACACTTTGCAACTAGGGAATTTTTCTAAAATAACAACTACTTGGCATTGGAATAGTTCCTTGCTTAAAAAAATTAATAATTGTTTTTTTTTAAAAGCAAGGGTCTATTGGATTGTGATTTCAACAGTGCTGGAAAGATACTGAAATTTAAAGCAAAGATGGAGCACTGTATATGCCACCATGAGCTTCTGTACAAAAGGCTGGATATAAATCCAATCCAATCAATCATTTCTATTATTGGAAGAGAGAGGGGTAATAAATAGCTCTACGTATGGGATGGTTGTTGCATTATCAGTAAACCAGAGGTGGTGGACTTTCCTGGTGGATGTACACAATTGATACTTCTACTGTATAGAATACTCCCTATTCAGACATCTAACATTACAGATGCTATGGCTTCCAGGTGCATACAGCCTTTTAGAAATATACACTTTTCTCTCTTATTTTATGTTTCACTTGAAAACCAGCATGAAGCATGAAGTTTGAAGCTACTAGGTTTCAGTTATTTTAAGTTTAAATAAAAATAACTTTGTTTCATACTGTACTATTTGCACCACTAATATAAATTATTTTGTTTTTATTTGCTGATCAGAATTACCATTTTTGCACTATCTATATTTGGCATATATAGGAGTATATTCATAGCATAAGCAAATGAAACTTGGGTACTTTTTAAAACTAGAATGTTTATTTTATTTCCTCATAAAATATTAAAATGTATATACCTACATTAATATTAGGTAAAATGGGGGCATTTAAGATGACCCTTTATATATAGACAATTACCTCTGCTAAAGTGAGAATCTCGTTCAGCAAGTATATTCTGTCATAGGTGGTTGATGATGAAATATTTTCAATAAAAGCTTTCAGACTGAATGTTGAATCAAGTATCTCTGTAAATGAAAGAAAATATTTTACCTCACCATTAAAATATAAAGCCTGGAATGAATTATAAAGAATTATAAAGAGGAAGAACTCAAATTGATCAAGCTGAGTGAACATTTGAAAAAAAAATATGAATTTTACTGTAACAAGAAGTAATTCATGGCTCTGAGAAGAAATGGAATAACTAATAGAATAGTATATAGAATAACATTATAGAATATCTCCTGAGTAAATCAGGTGTATTGCTACAGACTCAAAACAAATTATTACTACACAGAATATACGTAAAGAAAACAATTAAGTTTGTGCAACAATTTTAATAAATATCATGTAATGTGTCCTCCTATGTGATAAATGTATGCAGAATGGCACAATGATTACATTATATAGTATACTATATTAAATATACTATTATATAATATTACAATTAAAAGGACTGTTTACTTCAGTATGTAAAAATGAGAAATAAAAGATTTTAAATTGACATAATTTTGAAAATTTAAATATATCGATTACAAAAGAAGTTACATACACATTTTAATTATAATGTGGAATGAAACCAGGTAAATATATATGAAGAACAATTTACTATTAAAAAAATAATAGAGGTTACATTGATAAAAATACTTTTTAAAAAGAATTGGATAAACTTTGAAGAAAAATAACTTTCTATGAGAACTGAAATTGTTTTCTTTGTAGTTTGGGGGTGTTCAGAGCCATACTTCCAATTCAGCAAGATGGTACCACCTTTAATGTGGTATTCTACCTGCTTTTCCACCCTTTCCTCTATTTCTTTTTTTTTCTGTTTCCTATTGTTTTTTATTTTCTCCAAACTCTATAAAGAAAGAGATGATTGTATAGAGAATTCTGAACTTAAATTTAAACTTAAACTTAAATTCCATTCCATTAATAGAAAGCTGTTTCTTTTCTTTTTTCTAAAAGCTCAGCAGAAATAAATGAAAAAGAAATATTTCCATTTTCAGAAGGTACCTTTGAGAGATCTCCACTTCCCTTCTTTATTTACATATAAAAAACCATGAAGTTGTCCAACATAATATACTTTCCAGAGTATTGTTTTCAAATATCTATATCTCTGGATTATAATATATCAGGAGAAGGAAACATGTCTTGAAATCAATCAGATTCAAATACTTAAGTTTAAGTGCTTCAAAGAAACT